AAAAAAAAAAAAAAAAAAAAGATACACTTAGGAAACATTAGCCAATTATACATTTTAGACCTTATTTGGACCCTAACTCAAAAGTAAGCAGAAAACATTTTATCATGTTTGACATAATAGATCTTCCTTTTTTTTTTTTTTTTTGGTCTTTTTGAGACAGGGTCTCGCTATGCTGTTCAGGCTGGTCTTGAACTCACTTGATAGCTCAGGCTGGCCCTGAACTCGCAAACATCTTCCTGCCTCAGCCTCCTGAGTGCTGGGATTACAGGCGTGTGGCATCATGCCTGGCCCCCATTTATGATTTTATTCACTCAGTCATTTATATCAGTATGCATTTAAAGAGGTTCATTTTATATTTTATGTTATAATCCCATCCTGCTTTCATTTTGTTGCTCAGATTGTTCCAATTTTCTTTCCTACAGTATTAGGGATCAAACCCAGGGCCTTGTGCATGTCTGGAAAGTGCTCTAGCACTGAGCTACACCCTCAAATCCCTGTTACAGCATTTTTAAAAAGAAGGACATCCTTATTTTTCATTGCTACAAGTTGTTCCAGGTTCATCTTGTGTATTTCCTGTCTTACTCCTACGATCAACCATTTTTCCAAGGAGCTCTGGAACCATGTATTAGAGAAGGTTATTAGAAACTAAGCTCTAGGTGCTGAGTATGCTCTTTGTATGCTACTAGGTTGTCCTTATTTCTAGACCCTCTTAGCAAGCAGAGCGGAGTTATGTGTGCGTACTGACCTATGTATAAACACGTATCTATAGAAATTTGTATAGGGAACCATCTCAACCAACTCAAATCCTTTACCACATGCATCTTTTTAGCTTTCTGGTGTTCTTCAGTAAATTCCCACCCAATGGTAAGAAACCCAGCCCCACCACCCCAGCAGGTATTTACTCAGCTGCTACTTATAGCAAGGGCAGACTCATTAACCCATACCCCCTAGAGCACAATGATATGCACAGCTCTTTTGCCTTTAGTGTTACAGATTCCATTCATTGCCAAAGTGACTTAAGTCACCAACCCCCCTACCTGAAGTTCTTGCATACATTTGTAATTCATTTAGCCTTAAGTCACATTCTGCATTCCAGGGGGGATCTCTACCTCCTAATGATCTTTTTTAAAAAAAACAGCATACATTAAGGTTCAGTCTTTGTTTTGTAAAGTTGCATGGGTTTTTACAAGTGCATAACAACATCATGTATCCACCATTACAGAATCATTCAGAATCCTTTCACAACCCTTAAAATTCCCTGTTCTCCCATCTGTTTGCCTCTTCCTTCCTCCCTCTTCCTGCAGCCGCTGATTTGTTTATTGACTGTGGTTTTGCTTTTTTTTTTTTTTTAGAATATCATATAATTGGAATCATACAGTGTGAACTCTTTTCAAACTGCTTTCATTTAGCAGTGTGCATTAACGGCTCCTCCATGTGTTTTCATGGCTTGTTAGCTTGATTCTCTCTTATCACTTACTGTTCCATTTATGGAGGCACCAGTTTGTTTAACCATTCACCTATTGAAAGACATTCTTGGTTGATTCTAGCTTTTGATGATTACGAATAAAGCCTCTGTTAACTGCTGTGTGCAGGTTTTTGTGTGGACATAAGTTTTTAGATCAGTTGTGTAAATGTTTAGGTTGAGAGATTGCTGGATTTGAAGACCACGTTTTGATTTATAAGAAACTGTCAATCTCTCAAAGTGGTTGTACAGATTTGCATCCCCACCATAATACAGTAAATAAATTTTCTTGTTGCTCCACACCTTTCCAGTAATTGATGTTGTCAGTGCTTTGGATTTTAGCCATTCTTTTAAGTGTATAGTGGTATCTTGTTCTTTGTTTTGCGGGGTGGGGGGGTCTTTTTGTTTTTGTTTTGAGACAGGATCTTGCTATATACTTCAGGCTGGCCTTACACTCACTGTGTAGCCCAACCTGGCCTGAAACTCGCAGTGATCCTCCTGTCTCAGTGTCCTAAGTGATGGGATTACAGATCTGTGCCACCATGCCTGGTTCATTATTGTTTTAATTTGTAATTTCCTAATGAAATGATACTGAGCATCTTTTTTTAAAAAATCAATCACTGACCTGCATTCTCATGCTGAGAACATCTTTACATAGGCACATGTTTTCCATCTGTATATCTTCTTTGTTGAATTATGTGTTTAGATTGTTTGCCTATTTTTAATTTTTTTATGGTGCTGGAGATGGAACCCAGGATCTTTCACACATTAGACAAGTAAGCGCTCTACCATTAAGCGACATTCTTAGCTTGTATTTGCCTGTTTTTCAGTTGGCATGTTCTAGTAGAAATTTATGTACTTTTTTTGAGACAAGATCTCACTATGTAGTTCAGGCTGGCTTGAACTCACTGTGTAGCCCAGGCTGGCCTCAAACTCACAGCTATCCTGCCTCAGCCTCCTGAGTGCTGGGATTACAGGAGTGTGCCATCCTGCCCAGCTACACACTTTTTTTTTCTGCTATTCTCCACTGTAGAAAATTACTTTTTAGCTCATTACTTAGAACATGTGTGCTTGTGTGTGGTATGTATGTCTGTATTAAAGTAATGTTAACTGTGCCGGGTGTGGTGGCGCACACTTGTAATCCCAGCACTCGGGAGGCTGAGGCAGGAGGATCCTTGCGAGTTCGAGACCAGCCTGGGCTACAAAGTGAGCTCAAGGCCAGCCTGAACTGCATAGTGAGACCCTGTTTCCAAAAGACGAAAGAAAGAAAGAAAGAAAGAAAGAAAGAAAGAAAGAAAGAAAGAAAGAAATGTTAACTAAAACCCCATGTACACTCACTCCATGCATTACATCTAATGTTTTCTATTTCATTTTTTAAAATGCTATCTTCTCTCACAGCTTGACACATAGTACTGTCATACAGTGTCCTACAACTCAGTGCTCCCATATCATGTGCGTACTGTCGCCCATTCCTTCGTGCGACTCCACAGCTTCTCCAGTCCCGTATGTCTGGACTGTTCCTCCCCCACCCTGTGTCCACATAGCTCACTTCTCCAGTCATCTGTTCTCTTTGGCCATCTGGGCATACGTGAGGAAAGCCTGCGCGCTGTGACACTTGAGTCATCACTGGATGGGGCTTCTGGAAATTGAAGCCTATGCTGGAGGGCTCCTGGTCCCGCAGGCTTAACCTCAGCTTGGCTTGGAATTGGGTCAGGGATTCTGAGTGGAGGAATTTGGAATGACAGGTCTTACAGCCCAAGTCTGTGGTCCGTCGTCTCCCGTGTCCCTGTGCACTTCCTGTCTCCTGCTGTTGGGCCCTATGAACCTACCTTCCTCAACCCATTCTGGCTCTTGGCCAGGTTCAGGGTGTCATCCACATCCCTATTCCACTGCCCCCTCTTGCAGTTTGCAGAGCAGTCCCTGATGAAGAATGCCATAAAAACTTCAGAGGAATCATGGATTGAACAGCAAATGTTAGAAGATAAGAAACGGGCTACAGACTGGGAGGCCACGAATGAGGCCATAGAGGAGCAAGTGGCTCGCGAATCCTACCTGCAGTGGCTGAGGGATCAGGAGAAGCAGGCCCGCCAGGTCCGAGGCCCCAGCCAGGTGAGTCATGGGCTCTGTCTCTGGCCTGGCCATAAACCAATCACTTTCCATGCTTTGCCCTCAAATGGACGGGAAAAGTTAAGTGATTCTGACACCAGGGAGGGAGGGAAGCCCCCAGCCCCATGCTTATCAAGGCTTGGCGTTAGTCTTGGTGTTGTGCCGTACCATACCCAACACTTGTGCAGAACAAGCTCTTACGGAGTGAAGGAGAGCAGCAGCAGCTGCTGGTAACATGCAGCAATGAAGGGCTTCAGAGATACGCTCTTGTTGAATGTCTGTGCATTCCAGGCTCTGTGCTGAGGATGTGAAATTACACCTGACCCATCAGCAGGGCCGTGACCCTGGCTGTGGAGGTGGGGGCTCTGGCCATTCTGCATAGAGGAAGCTTGAATTGTTAGGGCAGGAAGGGCAGGGCGGAGACAGGCATCTGAGGAGTCACAAAGAGTTTGGAGTGATTGCACATGTTAACAGCTAAGTAATTTGTTCAACAAATATTTATTGCATGTAATTGCACAGTACTCTGGGAGGCTGAGGCAAGAGGATCACAAGTTAGAGTACAGTGTGGACAACTTAGCAACTTAGTGACACCCTATCTCAAAATAAATTAATAAAGGCTGAGGGATGTAGCCCTGGGTTCAATCTCCAGTACCACACACACACACACACACACACACACACACACACACACACACAGTCTGCAGTCTTACACCAGGGGTACTCAAGTATAGTATAGCAGGATATATTGGTGAGCCTCGCAGACCAAGGTCACTGTCTTTGTAATGATTACATTTTTGTGGAGTGAAAATAATCAAAATGAATACATTAGTTTTAAGAGTGTGACGGATGCAAAGTGTAGAGCCCAGGGTAAAGGGGATGAGGAGGGCTGAGTGCCCTAGGCGGGGACTCGCGGCAGTAGCAGTGCTGTCAGAGTGGGCCTCAGAGCGGGTGAGAGCTGAGCACGCTTGTGGGGGAGGCAGAGGCCCAGCACACCCAGTGTGATTCGAGCACAGCCCAAAGGGAGGCACTGGAAGCCAGACAGACGGCATAGTTCATGGAGTCGGGGAGGTGATCGGCCTGGGTGGGGTAGCGGCTTGGGGATGGTGAGGACTTTTACTTGGAAGGTCGCAGAAGGGGTGGGAAGTTTGTGAGCAGGGGGAGTTGAGGATCTGAGTTAGGAGGTAGCAGAATCTCGAGTGCTGAGTCGGGGGTTGGAGTCTGGGGGGAGGGAAGAAGCAGAGGAGCAGGGCGCAGTGAGCGGAAGGCCGCTGCACACAGTCTGGGTGACTGGCGGGGTGCTGGCGGTGGAGGTGAAAGGGATTGGACTCGGCTCTATAGTGAAGGTTGGAGGAGTGGGCTTTCTCAGTTGGTTTCAAGGATGTGAGCGGGTAGGTTAAGGAGCTTAATCTGGGCCCTGAGGGGCCTGGTGGGCGCTGTGTGAGTGCGAATGATGGTGCGAATGGACACTCATATCCGGGATCAGTGGGCAGGAGCAAACACTTGCTGCTGGGGCCCAGGAGGGTCATGGCTGGCGTTGGCCTTTACCATGTTTTCCTTCCTTGTGGCAGCCACGGAAAGCCAGCGCCACGTGTAGTTCAGCCACAGCAGCGGCCTCCAGTGGCCTGGAGGAGTGGACTAGCCGGTCCCCGCGGCAGAGGAGTTCAGCTTCTTCACCTGAGCACCCTGAGCTGCATCCTGAGCTGGGCATCAAGCCCCCCTCCCCAGGCACGGTCTTAGCTCTTGCCAAACCTCCCTCGCCCTGTGCACCAGGTCAGTGCCTCACTCCCAGGACACGTGGCTGTGGTTAGGGCCCCCTGCCTGGGTCTTGGGCCTGCCCTCTGACTGTCTGTCTGTCCCAGGTACAAGCAGTCAGTTCTCGGCAGGGGCCGACCGGGCCACCTCCCCACTTGTATCCCTCTACCCTGCTCTGGAGTGCCGGGCCCTCATTCAGCAGATGTCCCCCTCTGCCTTCGGTAAGCCTACTCTGGGGATGGGGCATTTGGGCAAAGACGAGAAAGAGGAAGTCGTAAGCGGGGTTTCTGGAGACTCTGGCCATCTCCCCAAAAAAGAAACCCAAAGTCCTGGGACGAGTTTTCTGGTCCTAGTTGTTTGCCCTAGACGGGGTCTAGTGGGACTCACAGGCCTTGGAGAGCCTTCCTTTTTGAGAAGGGAGTGAGAAGGGCCGGGTGGGTTTCTCCAGAACCACGCATCAGCCTGGGCGAGCGAAGGCGGGCCGAGGGCGCCCCATCACCCCTTCCCTCTCTTCTGCCCAGCAGGTCTGAATGACTGGGACGATGATGAGATCCTCGCGTCGGTGCTGGCAGTGTCCCAACAGGAATACCTAGACAGTATGAAGAAGAACAAAGTGCACAGAGACCCAGCCCCAGACAAGAGTTGATGGAGACCTGGGGACTGGGCACCATCTCCCGACACCCCTTCCTGTCCTCAGTGCACCCCACCTTCTTCGGCTTTTTTCCCTCTTGCCTCCTTCCCTTCTACCCTCTGCCCCCTCTCGGCCCTCCCCACTGCCCTGAGGCTGGACCATCCCTGTAGCCCCTCATCGCTGCCACAGCCACCCGTCTCTGCCAGACGTGCCCTGTTGCCCCCGCACAGCACCATCCCTGCATTCCACAGGGGACTTGGGCAAGGGTGCCGAAGGTAGGCGACAGGCCCAGACCACCCGACAGCCAGGCCTGCCCCAGAGGAGATGCTCAGAAGTCTCCTGCGTACCCTTCCTTCTGAGATCAGATCAACTTGTCACTCCCTCACAATTATGACCGGGAGGTGGGAGGAAGCAAACATTCTTTCCCCAGTATCCCAAGATTGTCTGAGCCTTCAATCTTGACGTTTTCTTTATTAAAATGTACTTTTACCTTACAAAATCAGCCAATCAAAAATGATGTAGATGACAGCGTTGGCTCTGTGAAGGAGGCGCCTCGGTTTAGGGGCAGCGGGCCGCCCGTGGAACAGGGAGGGTGCACGCCACTGTCTTCTGGCCTCTGGCTTGGAGGTGGGCACGGGGCCTGGGATGTGAGTGAGGGTGGGGAACGGGGTGGCAGGCGTCAGGCTGGCTTTGGACAGTGAGACCCAGACCTTGCTGCACTCCTTTTGCTTCCACCACCAGTAGTCTCTGGAATCTCCAAGTGGGGACCTTTTGGGGATCATGGCCGCACTCAGGATTTGAGTGAAAGGAGTGGGAGCAGCCTTGGCAGATGGGGCATGTGTGCCCTGCAGGTGTTGACAAGATCCACCATCTGTAATGTCCTTGGCACAATAAAACCAAATGTCAGTTTCCCTGAGCGGTTCTGTTCTGTGTGGGGCCGGGGCCAGGGGCCGGGTGGGCCTCTGTGAAGAGGGAGCACAGGGCTGGCTTGACCTCTGAGGCCCACATGCTTTCCAGTAGGGTCTGCCTGGGGCCTGGCGCTCATGCGGCATCCGATGCTTATTAAACTTGGGGTTGGGCGTGCGCGAGTGCACCTGTAGTCCCAGCTACCCATGAAGCTGAGGCCAGAGGATCACTTGAGCCCAGGAGTTCAGGCCAGCCTGGGCAGCAATGCAGCAAGACTCTTTCTCTTAGAAACAAAAACAAGGGAAAGCCATACACAAAAAGCCTCCTTTTGTGCTTATTAACATAAAAAAAATCTCCCTCTTTTGTTTTCTGCCCCAGCCCTTGCCCACTGTATTTCCTGGGGGATGGGGGGGAGATGGGAGCCAGAGACTGACTGGGCTGAGAGCAGAGACTGAATTTCCTGTCCGAATTCCAACTACCCTGCCCCCATCTCACCGGCAGTGTTTGCTGCTTTCTTGTGATAATCTGGTGAGGAGAGGCTTTGGAAATGCACAGCTGACACTTCATTAGCAACGTGAGTTTGGTGGAAGTGACCAAAGGAACCGCCTCCCGCTGGGTTTTAGAAGCTGAAGTATGAAATGGCTAAATCCTTTGTTCTTATCTACCTAGTCCTCCTGACATGTCTGTCCCTTACCCCTCAAGCTAAAACCAGTGCTAACTGGCCCCAAGGTTTTCCCAAGACAGCATGTTTTTCCATTCCACCTTGCTTATGGGGTCCCTGAGTGTCTTCCAGGTGCAAGTGAGGGTGTGGCTGGCTGCAGGCTTTGCGCTGCTGAGCGATATCCCTGGCCCCTTGTTTCGCTATGCAGTTCAGGTTGGCCTCGAACTTGCTGAGATCTTCCTGCCTCAGCCTCCCAAGTGCTGGGATGACAGGTATGCGCCACCTCGCCTGCCCAGCACTGCAGTGAGTTATGTTAAGAGGATTGCTTTGAAAGCTACTTCAGGCTTTTCTAGCTGTGTGGCCTCGGGCTCTCTTGAGTTTCTAGTGTCCCACCTGCACTACCGGCACAAGACTGGTGCCTGCTACCTCAAGCTTCGTGCTGCTGTGAGCATCTCCAGAGTGTATGGTTAACAGTAGCTGGCACATTCCAAGCTCACAAATGTTCGTGGACATTACTAATTATCCCAATGTTCAAGTTTCTGTACCCTTAGGGCTCTCTACTTGCCTCTTGCCTCTCTGTCCCATTTCCTTGGCTTGTACCCACAATTTGCCCTTCACCTGCCCTCAGCCACCAACCTTATGTCTTTCAAGACAGCCATCTTCTGAGATGCCCTGTATCGCCCCATTCATAGTTTTACTTCTGCCTACCGATAACCCAGTAACTGTACAGTAAACTCACCGGGCAGGGATTGCGATGCTTGACTTGTCTGTGAGATGTGTGCTTTCACCAGGGCCTGGCAGGCTGAGGGTAGACCCTCCGGTAATGCTGGATGAATGAGAGTTATCCCAGTGTGCGGCTTTGATGAGTCAAAGTTCTCATGTGTATCTCAGTGTCTCCGGGCATGTTTGTTGTGACAGGGGCTTCTTTCCAGGTGTGTCAGATGGTGACTGAGTGTGCGACTCTGACAGTTTGTGTTTGAGACAAGTGCCTATCTGCGTGGGTCTGTCTGTGACAGCGCATCTGTGGTTTCTGTCTGATGGGTAGATGTCCGATTGTATTTCTGTGACAGATTCTAGGCAGCTATTTTTAGAGTGTCAGCGACAAAGCTGCTTGTCTGACGGTATGTGTGACCAGGTCTATCATGTCCACTTTTGTGACAGTCCCTATTGGGCCTCTCACCTCACCTCATGCCCGCCTTTGGACAATCCATGTGTGTCTCTGGAGCATCTGTGTATGTTCTGGTGACAGACTCTGGGTCCCTCATTTCTGGGACAGTACAAGCTTTCTGTGACAGTATCTGATGGTGCCAGTGTGTGACGTTTGTTACTGTGTCTGGCAGGACATTTGCGTGTCATCACATGGCAGTGTAGGTCTATGTGAATCTCAGGAGTTTCTTTCTCTGTGTTTCTGTGATTTCTGGGACATTATCTTTGCTGACAGTGTGTCTCCATGTGTGACCAGGACAAGTTCACAGCAGTGTGTCTGTGTGTACCTATCTCATGACGTTTCTGTGTGTCTTTGAAGTGCATCTGCCTGAGGCGTGGGACCATAGCTGGCAATTCTCACAAATCAGCATCTAAGGCTGTTTACTTCTCGAGCAGGCTCTACCAAGCTCCCCTAGTCCAGGTCTCCCTCACACGGAAGCACAACCCCCTCCCCGCAAGATCACCCCCTGCTGTAGATTCTAGACCTGCCAACTGGGCCCACAGCTAAGTCTTGCTAAGTCTGTTTAGGTTAAAGGCTGCCAAAACACCACAGGCCACTGCCTGGCGGAGCCAGAATTCCGCCTTTGACTGGTGTGCCCCTCGTGGTGGTGGTCAAGGGTGTTTCCCCTCCCGGAAGACTGGATAGTTTCTAGGGGAGAGATTTCACTTTAGAAGTGAGGGCCGACCATGGCTCTGGTTACCCCCAGGCTGGGAATCTTAAAGCCGGCCTAGCATTATCTCCGCGCTAATCTCAAGGCAGCGGCAAACCTGCTTCCTAGTAAAGGAGGCTGCGCAGTTATTTTTTTAAGTGCCACACACACACCCCACCACCACCACTACCACCAACCCCGCGCAACAACCAAAACAAACGCGATTGCTGCAAAGGGATTCCCAGAACCGGTTTCCTCTTCTTGTGCGCCCCCGTCATTTGCATGCAGGCCCCGCCTCCGCGGAAGAACCAGGCGGGTATTTGCATAAGGGACACTTGAAACATTGAGGATGGTATGCAAATTAGGACTGGCTCTGATTGGCTGGGGGACAGCAGGTGCCGCGTCCGGATTGATCAAAGCCAGGTGGGCGGGGCTGTCGCGCTGGGCGACTCTCCCGGGAGGCGCGTGCCCCGGCTCAGTAGCATTGGGGCTGGCGAGCGCGGCGAGTGATAACGCTGCGCTGTCTGCGGGTGCTTCCGGACCACCAATTTCCCTGCCTTCCACCCTGGCGCCCCCCAGCCCTGGCTCCCCAGCCGCGCTGCCCCGGGCATCCACGCCCTGCGGGCTCAGCGGATTCAGCGGGCTCAATCTGCGCAGCGCCTCCTCCATGTTGACCAAGCCTCTGCAGGGGCTTTCTGCGCCCCCCGTGACCCCCACGCTGCCGCCAGGTGAGCGCAGCCTCTCCTACCTACCGGGACCAGGTGGGGTGGGCTGCAATGGTGGGTGGCCGTGCGGGTGGGGGAAGGAAGGCACAGCCCGGCTCAGCACGCCACCACCCTGACTTCTTCGCCTCCGCCTGCGTAGGAGGCAAGGATCGGGAAGCGTTCGAGGCCGAGTATCGACTCGGCCCCCTCCTGGGTAAGGGGGGCTTTGGCACTGTCTTCGCGGGACACCGCGTCACTGATCGACTCCAGGTAGTGTATCTACAACGAGGGTTTTGGGAGGGTTAGGTGTGTTTGGTAGGGACGGGGGCCTTGTGGTTCTGGGATGGCTGGTGGATCTAAGAGGGTGCCTGCAATGTGAGTAGTAGAGTCATGAGGACCAGGATTCAGTTTGGTTGGGGGTGTGAACACGGGCATCTTTGGGGCTCCGGGTGGATATGGGGGGGGGCGGAAGGTTTCAGAGCAGGGATGCAGGAGGTCCAGGGAATTAGAGTGGGGGAGGTCTTGAGGACTCTAGACCCAGTGGTCCAAGGAATGAATATTTGTATATGCAAGAATGTGGGGCTCTCAACCCCAGATTGAGGGGTTTGGGGATAGGCTTTCAGTGTGGACTGCTGAGGACAAGGATCCTGGTACAGTTGGGATATCAAGAAATTTACAATCTTGGGATTAGGATATAGCTCAGTCGTAGAGAGCTTGCCTAGCATGGACATGGCCCTAGGTTCGATACTCACTGCTGCAAGGAAAAAAAGTAAAGGGATGGAAGAAAAAAAAAACCTCAGTCCCTGGAATCGATCGATCCTAATACTTAAGAAGAGAGACGCAGGGTTAAGGACGGCGGGAGAGATGAACTTGCTTCTGGGGACTTGGAGGGCAGGGGAAAATCCCTGCCTCGTTATGGATGTGGTGTGATGGGGACCAGAAATACTAGAGCCCTGAAAGATGGACGGGCATCGGAGGTGTGCAGTGTGTCTAGAGCGAGAGACGCGGGGGGGGGGGGGGGGTTGTCACCTGCTTGGCCCTCTTAACTCGGCCCTCTTCTTCAGGTGGCCATCAAAGTGATTCCGCGGAATCGTGTGCTGGGCTGGTCCCCTTTGGTAAGTACCGTTGGTGTCCTTGACCTGTCTGCTCTATTCGTGATTATGAACTCACCCCCTTGCTTTTCTAGGCCATATGATTCCCTGGGCCGTATAACGGTGAGCATGCTCCCACTATCCCATGTTTACTCTTGGGGTGACACACAGTTCTGATTCACCTCAATTCCTCCAAAGCCTAGGATTCTCGCCTCCAACCCTTTCTCAGTGCTCCTTTCAAACATTGCTTTAGGGGGGCTGCCCACTGGGCATGCTGCTGGGGAAAGAGGGGCAGAGGTCACTGGTTGCCATGGTGCTACTGCCTGCTTCTCTCTAGTCGCAGTTAGAGAGCTAACGGACATCAGGGTGGGTCTGGGCAAGTAGTACGGGCGAGCGCGCCCCCTGGCGGACTTTTTGGGAGACTGCGCCTGCGCAGGCCGTGAGACCCAGGAGAATGGTGTGCATGCGCCATATCAAGGCTCCTGAATCTCTGAGAAAACCTGTCTGCGGCTGTGCAAGTCATCGGTGTGGCCAGCAGAGGGCTCCACCTCAAGCAGGAAGGTTCCTTCTGGCCGTCGTTGTGCTTACAGGGTACTTGGGGTTATTGAAGGAACGGTTTTAGTTGCTTTTTGGCAGTAAGGGCATATCGCATATTTACTAAATTTTTACTGTTTGGCCCTTAGCAATTAACCACTTTCAGCTATATAACAAGTGAAAATGGAGCACTTACTATATGGCAGTGACGGTTCTAGGCACATGGAAAAATACTACATGCTTTCTAGAGCCCATTTTGTGCTACGTCCCTTTTTATTGACTGCTCTTACTCGTTTAACAAAAACTGAGCTCTGTCCTGTAATTAGGCACTGCTGGTGCTTCAGATGTGCCCTTGAAGAAAACAAACCATACTACGTAAAAGCGCTTCTACTAAAGAAGGCCTTTTGTTAAGAACCACTTCCATTTATTCAAATATTTACAGAACTATTTACGACATGCCAGGTGTATGTAGGCTCTTCTCAGCTCACTCCAGTGACCGTTTCAGTTAGAGCTCTTAAGCTGAAAATACTGAGATCTGGATGAGAAGTGGGTTGGGTCCAGGTCCACAGTCAGAAGGCCAAAGGGGCTGATTTGACCTTGTTTGCCCCGATAGCCGTTTTGACGTCTGCCTTCTTTCTTTCCGCCTCAGTCGGACTCGGTCTCGTGCCCTCTTGAAGTGGCACTGCTGTGGAAGGTGTGTGAAGGCAGTGGGCACCCTGGTGTGATCCGCCTCCTTGACTGGTTCGAAACACCAGAGGGCTTCATGCTGGTCCTCGAGCGCCCTCTGCCCGCCCAGGATCTTTTTGACTACATCACGGAGAAAGGCCCCCTGGGGGAGGCCCGAAGCCGATGCTTCTTTGCCCAGGTAGTGGCAGCTGTCCAGCACTGCCATGCCCGTGGAGTTGTCCATCGTGACATCAAAGATGAGAACATCCTCATAGACCTCCGCCGGGGCTGTGCCAAACTCATTGATTTTGGTTCCGGTGCCCTGCTCCATGACGAACCCTACACTGACTTCGATGGTAAGGCTTGCCCAAATCTCGGGGGGGGGGGGAGTTCACTCGGTGCTCTCAACCTGCAATCTTTCTGGCCTCCTGACCTTCGAGCTGCAGTAGTGGGTTCTCTTAGAACGCCTGACCTGTCTGGTGTTCGGTTTGGTTCTGGGGATTGCACTCAGGGCCTTCACACTCACCTTCCGTACATTCTCAGCCCTGTTATTTTGAGACAGGGTCTCAAGTTGCCCAGGTTGGGCTCGACCTCACGTTCCTCCTGCCTCAGCCCCCCAAGACTGCTGACATTACAGGCACGGACCACAATGGGGTTTTGATTTCTAGTACTGGGGATTCTTAGGCCCGGCCCCTTGACAAAGTCCATCTTCGGACTTTGTTCTGTCTGGCCACCTAACTCTGGTGAGATGATCTGTGTCCTGAGTGTTCTCTGAAGTAAGGATAGTGTGCTGTTAAGTCTTCAGTGTTTTGTTCTGCTGAGTGGACTCCGACGTAGGTACTCTCTGTGGTGATGGGACCTTGCGGTCCCAATTAATGGGCTACTCTAGTGAGACCTTGCCCTGATGAGTGGGATGAGTGCTAGGCTTGCGGGGAGGGTAGAAGGGCACTTTCGGAGTGCGGTAACCCTCGGCTTGTGTGCAGGGACAAGGGTGTACAGCCCTCCAGAGTGGATCTCTCGACACCAATACCATGCCCTCCCGGCTACTGTCTGGTCACTGGGGATCCTCCTCTATGACATGGTGTGTGGAGACATTCCCTTCGAGAGGGACCAGGAGATTCTGGAGGCTGAGCTCCACTTCCCTGCCCATGTCTCCCCAGGTGAGGACCTCACTGAACCCAGCCCACCTGACTCCATCCCTCCTGGAGACTGGTATCCCTGCTAACTACTAATCTCTTCTGTGCTTCTTAACCCACAGACTGCTGCGCCCTAATCCGCCGGTGCCTGGCCCCCAAACCTTCTTCCCGACCCTCACTGGAGGAGATCCTGCTGGACCCCTGGATGCAAACACCAGCTGAGGAAGTGCCCCTCAACCCTCCCAAAGGAAATCCCACCCCCTTGCCTTGGTCCCTGCTTCCCTAGGCCTAGCCAGGCTCCCACTGGTTGGAATCCCATGGCTATGCCACAGGGATAGATGGACATCTGTTCACCTGGTTTTACAGGTTGCTAAAAATCCAGTATTACTAAGGTCAGGGATTGGGGATGAGGGGTCAGAAGACAAGCCAAGTCTGCCCAGTCCCCATCCTAATCCTGTGAAAGAGCCTTTCTCCCAGAACCTGTGGTCCTTTATTCTGGAAGGGGGGATTCCTTGTTTGTCGTTCTACTAAGGATGTTACTGATTGACATTATTTCCCTTCTGAGCCCCAGGATTCTTATTTTGAGAAGTTGTAACCCCTACACTGGCACCTCCTCCTATACCACCACACGAAACTTAGTTTAAATGCTCTTAACTTGGGCAAGGGTGCTTTTCCTTAAAATACCCAGCAGCTCTTTTAAAAAAAAAAAAAAAGGACCCTTTCCCTGGCCTACGGTCCTCTATTCCTCTATTCGGTCACACTGCTTGCCTGCCTGCCTCAGCCCAGAATTGCTTATTCTGGGGAGGTAATGCCCAGGTTACCCCAGGGCTCTTTTTTTCTTTCTTTTTTGGTGAGGGGACCCTACTGTTACCCCAAGTGCTCTTATTCTGGTGAGAAGAACCTTACTTCCACATTTGAGGAAGGAGTGGGAGATAGACAACATCTGATGCCACCAGAGACTAGGATGGGACGGATGGTTTGAGGGGATGGGCTAGGGGAAGTAAGTTACTGTGTGCTCTCCTACCCCTCCAACTTTTATCAAATTTTAGCTGCCTCCTCCTGAGCCAGGATTGTCCAACTGCTAAAATGTAAATAATTGTGTTCTGGAGGGAGGGGAGCTAAAAGTGTGTCCTCCTATCCCTTCTCTCCCTGCCTGGATTATTTAAAAAGCCATGTGTGGAAACCCCACTATTTAATAAAAGTAATAAAATCAAAGGGGACCGGCTATTGCATCGACTGTGTGCTGAGCCTAGGAGATGGCTAGACATCTCCTTTGCTCCTTGGTTTGGTTTGTTTTGTCTCACTCTGTAGTTCAGGCTGGCCCTGAACTATGTAGCCTCAGCTTTAGTGCTAGGATTACGTGCGAGCACTCACTGCTTCCTTGCTCACTGGAAGGCCTGGGTCTTCCTGCATTCCCTAAAGGGTTCTCAGTGGGTTCAGTTCTGTTCTCCCTCCAGCCAAGGTGTGGAGATACTGGAGGCATTAAGGATGTTTACGATACACCTCCAAAGACAGCCAGTTCCGACAAAAAAGCTGCGCCTTCTAACCCTGGGGGAGGGAGAAACCCCAGTTCAAGAAAAGTCCTTTCAAGGACAGTGTGGCCCTGGCACCCCTAGCTTTTTCCTTGGTTTTAATAACAGGGTGTAGTTGCCGGTTTTGCCCGATCTAAACCCTCCCTTGTCTTCCCCTTACATGATCACCCTCAAATTCAACTCACCTGCACTGCCCTCGTCCCCTGCTTTCAATTCCACGGTCGCTAACTTGGCCTGCCTGCCTTGCCCCTCAAAGTCACATCCCTCCCAGGTACCCGTGGGCGTTCCAGGGGTGGAGCCTCGCTGGGAAAAAAGAAAGAGGAACTTCAGACCAATCAAAAAACACCTAGGAGTTTCTAATGCGGAGAGGGCGGTGCCGTCGGAACAGAGTGCCAGTGAAGATTCGAGATAGAAGGGTAGCTGAGCCAATGGCATCAGAAGACAGGGTGGGCGGGTTAAGATCGGCAAGGGGGCGGGTCTAGTGTGACCAATGGCTCAATGAGGTTTTGTGAAGACAGCTGGAGACGGAGCCGGCATTGTCCTGGTTCTCTGTCGAACACAATTTAGGATCTGGAAATCCCGTGGCAGGCCACTGTTTAAGATTTAGCCTTTAGATGCAGACGGGGAAAAGTCACTGACTTGACGACCCTGGCACCTGCCCCTCACCCGTTACGGGGGCGGAAGCGGAAGTGACGAACACGGAAGTAGCCTGCTGTTGCCGAGGGGACGGGACGGGCAGATGCCAACATGGCAGCGGTTGGGGCTGGCGGTTCTACTGCGGCGGCCGGGCCAGGAGCGGTCTCCACGGGGTCGTTGGAGCCTGGCACCGCGAGTGCGGGTGAGACGGGCTGTGGCCGAGCAGTCGGCGGCGGGGCAGAGAGCGGGATCCCTGAGGATCGGAAAGGTTCCTCACTGAAGTGGCAGGGAAGCATCCCGTGTGGACTGACCTCTGTGTGTGTGTGTGTGCGCGCGTGTGTGTGTCCGTGTGTGCGCGTTTGTGTACGTGTGTGTGTGTGTGTGTGTGTGTGTGTGTGTTGGGAGGGGAAAAGGGAAGACGGAATGGACCATTCTGAGTGTGGTAGGAGCTGGGAAGAGACCATTCTGAGCGTGATTGTGGGGTGGCTATTTGCACATTTGCAGAGTGGATATCATTCTGAATGTGGAGGGAATTCCCTTTTGAGGAGGTTAAGGCCACCGATATCATTCTGAGTATGTAGATCCTCCCTTATGGGAGGGAAAGTCCATTCTGAGGGCGTGGGAGTTCTTTATAGAAAGGAAAGATTGCTCTGAAGGTGGTGGTTCCTTCCTCATAAATTGTCAGGGTGGGGCGGATTCTTTCTGAATGACTAGTGGGTCCATTTTGAGGATGGGGTTGTCTTTCATTATATGGGAGAAGACTGTTCAGGGAAGTCTCCTTCTTACTGGAATTATGGTTCGTTGTGTATTGAGGTGGGAGGGCCCTTCCTTATATGTCAGAGAAGGAACATTCTGAGGATGCCAGGTCCTTCCTTATAGCAGAGAGAGTTCATTGTGAGTGTGGGTTGAACAAGGAATTGTTCTTTGATTAGGGAAGAAGGGTGTGTAGTGGTGGAAGAACAGATTGTGTGGAACATAGGGAAGTATTTCCTTACACTTGAAACCAGACCATTCTTGGTGGGCTAACTGTTCATTATATAGGGTTCAATCCTTGAGTCAATAAGGGAGATGGGCGAAATACCATTCCTAGGGGGTGGACATACATTATACAGTGGTCCTATTCTCCACACTGGGAGATTATTTTCATGGGACAGTCCTTTGTTAAATAGCAGGATCGTTTCATGTAAATCCTCAGTTGGCTCATCCATAAAATGGGAATCCTCAGTTCCTTCAGAGATGACAGCAATGTAAAAGTCCCTTGAGGTAATCTCTGTAATCCGTTAGTCCTGTGATAGACACACATGAAGTACTGAATACATGTTGTGCATATCATTGGTATTTAACAGAATGAGCTGCTTCTCAGGACAGGGAGAGAGGGAGCAGGGGAGGGTTTCCAGGGCCTGTCCTGACACTTCAGCATGGATTCTAGGTATGGGCTGGACAGAGTGGGACCCCTTCCTTCCTTGCTGGCTTTTCCTGCCTGTAGCTAAGAGAGTACAAGCGGATAGGAGTCAGACTCTCATTGGGTCAGGGAGGGCAGGAAGAGGGAGGAAGTTGCCGTGGCTAGGAGGATCCTGGCTGAGAAAGGAGAAGGGGTAGTTGGTGGTGTGGCTGTGCCCCAGCAGCTTCTGACCTGCTCCTTCCTCCTTACCCCTTCCGTTCCCCACAGCTCACCGGCGCCTCAAGTACATATCCCTAGCCGTGCTGGTGGTCCAGAATGCCTCCCTCATCCTCAGCATCCGCTACGCCCGCACGCTGCCTGGGGACCGCTTCTTTGCCACCACTGCTGTGGTCATGGCCGAAGTGCTCAAAGGTCTCACCTGCCTCCTGCTGCTCTTCGCACAGAAGAGGGGTACGAGCCAGGGAGGGGGTCGGTGGGTGGGAGAACCTGCCTGGGGAGTGTGTGAGTGCAGCTAAATGTCCTTCTTCCCCAGCTGTGAGTAGCTGCATCTACTTTTCTACCCCTAATACCCTGGGAGCTGTAGGAGTGACATAGTCTGCTACAAGGTAGCAGGCGGCTCACCTTGATCAGGTGACTTACCTTTAACTTTGTATTATGGAGAATTCCAAACATGTACAACACTGATTTTTTTTTTTGAAGCAAGGTCTTGCTATATAGCTCAGGCTGGCCTTAAACTCACTCTGTAGTCCAGGCTGGCCTCGAACTCATTGCAATCCTCCTGCCTCAGCCTCCCAAGTGCTGGCATTCCAGGCGTGCACAGCCACGCCCGATTTACAACATTGAAAAGAATAATAAAATAGTAAAATTGCCATGTACTCATCCTCCAGGTTCAGATTTACCACTTCACTTCACTTCCTGGCAGAGTGACCATGAAACAATATCAGTGATTATTCACTTGCGCTAATCTACATTTCTATGTACTCCCCCCTATTATTTTGAAAGAAATTCCTCATTATCAGGAATAAATTATTTTTAAGTAGTACGCCAGGAAGATGTGGTGTACACCTCTAGTGTCAGCTTCTCGGGAGGCTGAAGCTCGAGGATCACTTGAGCCTAGGAGTTTGAGGGTCCCCTGGGCAACATAGCAAGACTCTGTCCCATCAAAAACCAAATAAACAAATCCTTTTTTTCTCTCATTGCAATAAACTTGAACTCCAGAAGCCTGGGACGCTCTTTTTAGGAAGCCACTATTTTCTTTTATTTATTCATTTATTTTTATTTTTTATTTTTTAAATTTTTTGGGGGTACTGGGAATTGAACTGAGGACCTCGCGCTTGCCAGGCAGGTGCTGTGCCACTAAGCTATATCACTAGCCCCAGCTGCTATTTTGCTGATTGATTCTCTGGCATTTAGGAAGGAACCCTGCATCAGGCCATGGCCATGGAGGTAGACTGTTAGCAGCACAGACACATGTCTTGCTTTCTTTTTTTTTTTTTTTTTTTTGTCTTTTTGAGACAGTCTCGCTCTGCAGTTCAGGCTGGTCTTGAGCTCACTTTGTAGCCCAGGCTGGTCTCGAACTGGCAACAATCCTGCCTCAGCCTCCCAAGTGCTGGGATTACAGGCGTGCGCCACCACATCTGGCTTACTTATCCACAATTTCAATTTGTTTTTCTTTCATTTGAGATGGAGTCTCACTGTGCTTCACAGGCTGGTCTTGAGTGCAAACGTGGGCTCAGGGAATCCTCCCATCACAAACACCCTGGTAGCTGGAACTTCAGGTGCACCACAACACCCAGCTACATTTGTTTTTCTTTGAATTAGTTTGGTGGTGAAATCTAGCCTACAGGGTAGCTCAGTGGTAGAGCACTTTGCCTAGCAAGGGCAAGGCCGTTGATTAGATCCTAGCACTGCAAAAAAAAAAAAAAAAAGAAAAGAAAAGAAAGAAAAAGGAAAGAAGCCTGACTGATGGGTTCTTGGTGGATTTCTGCTTCTTATTTTTACTATTTGGTGGGAGTAGTCCAGCAATTCACTACAGAAATATGAATGTGCTTTTTTATGGTATGCAGTTCCAACTATGTGGGGTTAGTGATGTGATCTGTGGTATGTATACCACTTACCATTTTAACACCTGAAAAATGAGAGGTTAGAGACCCAAGATGAGTGCCACAAAGGGCAAGAGCAGCGTTTTATGAATGAGTATCAGCAGGAGTTCCCAGCAGCCCTCCTTCTCAGATGAACTGCAAAAGAGTAGTGTGGCTCAGTGTTAGAGCTCTTGCTTAGCTTGCACAAGGGCCTGGGGTTCAGTGTCCAACATCTCCCCCAAAAGTGGGGTGAGCTTTATAAATGCCTTATTATATAAGAAATGATTATCAGCATTCCATTGCGTCAGGCCCCAGCCAGACTTTGCTTAATGGTCAATACTGCATGTTTCAAGGTTGGGCGTGGTAGTGCACACCTGTAATCCAGCACTTGGGAGGCTGAGGCAGGAGGATTGCTGCAAGTTCGAGACCAGCCTGAACTGCATAGTGAGACCCTCTCTCAAAAAAAAACAAAAAATCCTGAGAAACTATTTTGTAGATAATAATATGTAAAACGATAACCATTAAAAAAAAATAAAATAAAATAAAGTGATCAAAATTTGAAAAAAAAAAAAAAAAGACTGCATGTGTCCACAGAGTAGGAACAACTCCTTAATGGGTCTAGGGCTTACAGAAAGCGCAGCTGGGTGGGAGATGGCCTCTGCCCTTAGGTGGCTGATGGAACACCAAAGAGCTAAGAGAAGTAGAAAAATGAAGTCTAATCAGGTGCAGTGGTACATGCCTATAAACTCAGCTACTCAGGAAGCTGAGGCAGGAGGATCCTGAGTTCAGTCCAGCCTGAGCAACATTGTGAAGCCCTGTCTTAAAGTAAAGAAGGGGAGGCTGTGAATGTAGCTCAGTGCTCCCTTGGTTCAATCCTCAGTACCAGAAACTAATAATGCATTTTTTAAGAAGTCAAGTCTAGGATTGGGGTATAGCTCAGTAGTACATGCACAGAAGCCCTGGATTCAGGCCCCAGTAACAAAAGCAAATGAATAAATGAAAACCTGATCTTCCAATAAAACCCAGATATTGTACTTGATAAGGTCCTACATCAATAATAGAGAACTTTTCAGAGCTTTCAGTGAGATGGACAGCCCACTCCAGCACATGTCCCATAGGTTTGCCACCACTTTCCTAGATAGTGATGATGATGATGATGATGATTTTTTTTTTTTTTTGCAAAAGACAGGATCTTGCTTTGTAGTGCAGGCTGGACTTCAACTCACTATGTAGTCCAGGTTGGCCTCAAACTCATCGAAGTTCTCCTGCCTCAGCCTCCTGAGTGCTGTGCCAACAGGTGTGCACCAACATGTTCAGCTCTAGTGATGATTATTTCATGGTACAAACATGTACTGAGTTCTTGCCCTACATAGGACTCCTTGGCAGGGAAGTAGGCACTCAGATGAGTGAATTGTGTCTGTGATTAGTGCACCCAGTCTGTGGCTTTTGGTATTGTTTTTTTTTTTTTAATTTTTGCAGAGCTAGGGGTAGGACCTAGGGCCTCATGCCTGTTGGGCAAGTGCTCTACCTCTGAGCTACACCCCCCAGCCCCTTTTCAGCTATTAAACTAAATACCAGAAAGGCTTCCGGGAGACACGGCTGTACTCTTAGGGAAACTGAACCCAAGAGTTAGGGGTGTAACTCGGTTGTAGTGTGTGAGTTTAGCATGCACAAAGCCCTGGGTTCCATCCCCAGCACACATGCCCACACACACATACATGAAAACAAAACAAAAAAAATGAAGCACAGACCTCCTTCTGGCTCCCAGCAAGTCTGAGGGGCCAGGGGACCTCATCCCAGCCTTCAGAGGATCCTGTCTTTGGTAGTCCATGCTATCGAGGCTTCTCTTCCTCCCACCTAGGTAACGTGAAGCACCTGATTCTCTTCCTCCATGAGGCCGTCCTGGTGCAGTATGTGGACACGCTCAAGCTTGCAGTTCCCTCTCTCATTTACACCTTGCAGAATAACCTCCAGTATGTTGCCATCTCCAACCTGCCAGCTGCCACTTTCCAGGTGAGCCCCAAGCCCAGCATGGCCCCAGCGAAGCTGCCTAGCTTAGGATATGTAAAATGAGGAGGAAGGAGGCTGCCAAGAGCCGTGTTACTTTCAGAATTATCCTGGAACTCCTTTAACCTCGGTTTCCTCATCTGTGAGAACTGCGAATAGAAGTAGTAGTACCTGCTTAGGAGGTATGCTGGGGATGGTTGAAAGAGACACCAGCAAAGAGCCCTTGGTTGACCATCAGTAAGATTGAAGCTATTCCTGGGCAACTTTGTGAAATGGTCAGAGCCTGGATTCTGGGGCTGGGTTGCTGGTTTCAAATCTCAGCTGTGCTTTTTTCCAGCTGTGTGATTTTGGGGCAAGTCTCCTAAACTTTCTGTGCCTTAGTTTACTCTATCTATCTATCTATCTATCTATCTATCTATCTATCTATCTATCTAATTTTGCAGTACCAGTACTAGGAATTGAACTAAGGGCCTTGTGCCTGCTAGTCAGGCACTCTACCACTGAGCTACATCCCAGCCCTTTTTGCTTTTAAGGTAGGGTCTTACCACTTTGGCCGGTCTAGTCTTGGCCTGACTCAGCCTCTTGAGTAGCTGGAATTACAGGCATGTGCCACTGCTCTTGGCATGATTTGTTCATCTTTGAATTGGGGGTTATTGCTGAGTATGGTGGCAAACACCTGTAATCCCAGCACTCAGGAGGCTGAGGTAGGAGGACTGCTGCAAATCTGAGGCCAGCCTGAACTTCATGGTGAGACCCTGTCTCAAAAAACAAAAAAATAAAAATAAATAAATTGGGGATTATTGTGGGGCCCTCTTCCTATGGTGGTTGTGAGGATTAAATAAACTATCTCACATACAGTGCTCAGGTACGCATTAGCACGTAGTGAGTGCTGTGTAGATACGTGCTGGCTTTATTGCTGTGGTTGATTCATTGTCTTCTGCAAGGTGTTCTACGTACATCAGCCTCACTTTACAGATGACAATGCCGGGGTTCAGACTGGGTGAGTGCCTTGTCCCTGGTCACAGGAGGAAATGGAATTGGGATGTGGCTTGGAATTTCCTGACACAGCCACCCTTCTGTGTACTCTCTGGGAAGGGTCTGTAGAGCCACATAGTCCCAATTCAGCCACTGGCCAGTGGCAGCTATTTTTTGCTGGTTTCATTGTCATCTACCCCACCCCGTTCCTCCATTGTGCCTGGGACCCACAGTGGGTGCCGTCCCAGTGTGCACCTGCTGGGGTCCGATGGGCCTCAGCGCTTTGCACGTGCACCCACAGGTGACGTATCAGCTGAAGATCCTGACCACAGCACTGTTCTCTGTGCTCATGCTGAACCGCAGCCTTTCCCGGCTACAGTGGGCCTCCCTGCTGCTCCTATTCACTGGCGTCGCCATTGTCCAGGCACAGCAAGCCGGTGGTGGCAGCCTGCGGCCACTGGATCAGAACCCCGGGGCAGGCCTCGCAGCTGTTGTGGCCTCCTGCCTCTCCTCGGGCTTCGCGGGTGTCTACTTTGAGAAGATCCTGAAAGGCAGCTCGGGCTCTGTGTGGCTGCGCAACCTGCAACTGGGCCTCTTCGGCACAGCCTTGGGCCTGGTGGGGCTCTGGTGGGCCGAGGGGAGTGCTGTGGCCCACCGTGGCTTCTTCTTTGGGTACACGCCTGCTGTCTGGGGTGTGGTACTCAACCAGGCCTTTGGGGGGCTGCTGGTGGCTGTCGTTGTCAAGTATGCTGACAACATCCTCAAGGGCTTTGCCACCTCCCTGTCCATTGTGCTGTCCACTGTGGCCTCCATTCGCCTTTTTGGCTTCCATCTGGACCCACTGTTTGCCCTTGGCGCGGGGCTCGTCATCGGTGCCGTCTACCTCTACAGCCTTCCCCGAAGTCCAGTCAAAGCCATAGCTTCCACTGCTGCCTCTGCTGCTGCCTCCGGACCCTGCATTCACCAGCAGCCTCCAGGGCAGCCACCGCCACCGCAGCTGTCCTCCCACCGTGGAGATCTCATCACGGAGCCCTTTCTGCCAAAGTCAGTGCTGGTAAAGTGAGGGCTGGTGGCAGTGGGGGGAGATGGGGAGGGGATGGGGTGGAGGGTGTTGGGCATCTGCAGGACCGAGTTGTGGCCGGGACCTGGCTCCTCTGGGGTTGGAGGATGCTCTTTTCCTCCAGGTCACTGAGACTTCTGGAGGGGCATGGGGCCAGGGCCGGAGAGACCGAACTCCTTCCCCTGGAAAGGGTTTTTAGAGCTGCTTCCTCTGCCACAGTCAAACCTCTCTGGGGACAGGGTTAGGGGTATTGATTCAAGGCCTTCTTTGTCGGGGCACCCCCATGTGCGGGAGGTGTCCTGTCTAATGCCTAGGACAGCCCCTCCCAGCGACCCTTCCTCCTCGGTAAGGACAGACTGGACAGAAGTCTGCAGGTTGTCAGCAATGACTGATGCCTCCCTGTGGGGTGTAGCTTCCCATCATTTGAGGCCTTCTCTCCTCCCTTACCACTGCCCTGGGCCATGTTAGCAGCTGTCTCATGCAGCCTTGGGGCAGCTTCCCTGACACAGGCCCTTGAAGCAAGGCCCTTGAATCCGGGGCTGTGGAGAGCACCTGGGGAGAGGAAGAGGCTGAGCCGGGTTCCTGTCAGCCCTTCTCGGGGAGGGTGCAGTAGGGGCCATGGTTGTTTCGGTGGTTCGGGATATGTGGTGTAATCAGATCACTGATGATCCAGAGTGGGGGGAAGTGGGGCGGGGTGGTTTTGAAATGGCTCAGTGTCACTCGGTTTAAGACACTGGTGGTTGCAAGATGCAGGGTTACTTTCTGAGACATCCAGAGAGGGAAAATAAAGCTGCAAATCCCACTCTTGCTACCCCAATTGGCTGTGCAGGGCACCCTCACTTCATGAAGAGGGAGTGTCTTAGAGTTGATTAACCGTGGAACCTACCCCCTGCGCTCCCCAAAGCTTATTAACCCCTTAACTGTGTCCCAGGGTGTGTGTGTGCGCGCGTGCCCAAGCATGTGTGTCTGTGTGTGCGTGTGTGTGTGTGCATGGGAGATGGCTGGGCTGTCTTTGCTATATGTAAATAGGGCCATTGGATCTTTATTTTTGATTAATTTGTTCCGATTTTTTGGTTGTTTTCTAAGGAACTGTAATGAACAAATGTCAGGATACCCGATGCCAAATAAAGATGTTGTATTTATTTAGTCCACGTGTAGCTTTCTGACCCAGGGGCCGCGCTCTCTGCATAAGCACCACTACTAACTCAGGACTACTAGCCTTACCACCGCTGTTCTCGCTTGCTCAGGAACCCCTCCTGCCAGCTACCCCAGCTCTGTGTTTCTCTTTCCTCCCATTCCCACCACAGGTTGCTCACCAAGGTGAAGGGGTCGTAGTCGCCGGGAATGAAGACGTTGGCCTGGCCTCGTTCTCCTTTCTTGCCCTGGCTCAGCTGGGACCAAACTCTCTGATCAGTATTAGGGGGAGGGGGAGATAGTGGAACTCCCTGGCCCCACCGCGCCCACCCTCACAGCGGCCTGAGCTAAGCTCTCTGTAAATGACTCACCTCAGCCCTAGGCCCCTGTCACCCCTAACGTATTCCTTAGGTGAGTTTTTGCAAATAAAATGTGTTCTGCATCTTGCCAGCTTGGGTTGGGAAGCCCAGAAAGAGCAAGGGAAGCACTCAAGCCTCGGGATATGATCACAGAAAAGCTTTATTGGAAGCAGCAGGGGAGTCGGGGTGCCGCTCAGTGGTGGAGCACCTGCTTAGCATGCACGAAGCTTCGGGTTCTATCCTGCCATTCAGGAAGGGGGAAAACAAAAGGGAGGCAGAGAAGCCAGCCTGCAGGGCTCAGAGTCAGGTTCAGTCCTGCTGTTTGGTTCGTGAGGCCTCGGCGTTGGCGCGAAGCACAGCCCCCGGGGAGGGGTATGGGCGCTGCTGGAAGAGGGGTCCAGCTGCTGTCGTGTCAGCGCCTGTCTTGGCTTCATTCCGCTTGGGGAGTCCTGTTGACCATGTGCCCCTGGGGGTGACAGGGTCGTAGTGTGAGGAGGGGGTGTGGTGGGCACCCCTCAACCAGCCAAGACTCAGGAATGGAGGAAGGAGGCAGCAAAAAGGGCGGCGCTCTCAGGTGTGGTGAGTCGGGAGGAAAGGGAAGGGCTCGGGAGAGGCCGTCACCTACCGGGGGGCGTCTGAGTACGAGCTGGGGTCCATGGGGTCTAGCTCTTCATCCTTTCGGCTCGCCGCTGTGGAAGTAAGTGGCAGGATGAGTTCTTCAGTCAAGGCGCAAGGAGCCCCTGATCCCTGAGCATCCCATCCCAGGAAGAAATGGAACCTGCTGCCACTGGGGCTGGCAGCACCCTTCTCCAGGACCCAGGTTTGGACAGGACCCTGTGAGAAGACCCCGCACGCCCAGGCGCCTTCCCTGCCTCCCTCAGGTGCCAGCTCGCTCCGCTTACCCTTCTTGCTCTTGGGGTAGGGGGCCAGCTCCTCGCGGCGATGGTGGCGTCGTTCTTTGCCCTCTTCTCGGTCTGCCTTGTCATACCCACGGTCACGGTCCCTTTCCCGGTCCCGCTCTCGCTCTCTGTCCACTTTGTCATAGCCACGCTCTCGATCTCTGTCAGACTTGTCATGGTTCCGGTCTGACTTCTCGTGGCTCCGGTCTGGCTTCTCGTGGCTCCGGTCAGACTTCTCATGGCCCCTGTCCAACTTCTCGTGGCTCCGGTCCAACTTCTCCTCAGCATCTAGGGGGGCGAGACAGTCGGAAGTGACCTCCTACCACCCCAGGACCCAGCAGCCTCTGCTTCCATCAGCCTCATTAGGCTGGTCCTGGTCCTATCTGCCCCTCCTAGAATTGACTTGGCCCCTTTCTAAGAACTGCTACCATCATTCGAGGCACCCTCAGATCTGCAACTCACCTGCATTATTGCTCCTGAGTTTCTTGGCAGATTTGGTAACGACGGAGTTGGGGTCATGTGGGGAGAGCCAGGACACGAGGTCTGTGTCTGCATTCCAGTAGTAAGGGAGCCCGCTGTGGAGCAGTGGGAGGGAAGGAATATCAGCACGGATAGCCTCTCCTGGTATCAATTCTTGTCTCCCCAACCTCTGCCTATTCCTGCCCCATATCAGAACCCCCATACCTTCTCCTGTGTTCCCTGTATACCACAGTTAGGGACAACACAGGAAGGGCAAAGTCAGAAGTCCGCTGCCCCCCCTAGGTCCCCAGGCTCACCAGGAAGGGTCGAACACCTTGTACCAGCTTGGTGGCAGGCCCTCCAACCGAGTGGCCTCATAGTCTACAGGGTCATCGTCATAGTCCTCAGCAATGATCTCTTCCTCTGGTTCTGGCAGAACAAGGAGGAGGACAGCAGTTAAGGACCAGAGAACTTTCATTTTTTTTATTTTTTATTTTTGTCTTTTTGAGACAGGGTCTCTCTGCAGTTCAGGCTGGCCTTGAGCTCACTTTGTAGCTCAGGCTGGTCTCGAACTCTAAGTGATCTTCCTGCCTCAGCCTCCCAAGTGCTGGGATTACAGGCATGTGCCACCACCCCCAGCGAGAACTTTTCATTCTACAGTCAGGGCCATGAGACACACTCAAATCCACACAAACCACGTGTGGAAGATATACGTGTGTGCCGAGAAGCATATGAAGTATTTCTAACATCCAAACCCACCTGCTTCAGCCTCCCACGTGCTGGGAATACAGCTGTGTGCCACTCCGCCTGGCCCTCACCATCAGTTTAGACTATTAACCATAATACGTATGCCAGGCACTTAAGAAGCCCCCAAAATGTCAGCTGTTGATCTGCTTTACAGTCTACTCAGCACTATTAGGCCATGACTGGACTACCTCTGAAACAAAATATCTGCGGTAAACAAAGTGTCAACACCTTGCACACACAGGAGACTGCCGGCTGGCTAGCCTTCCTGCTGGATAACATGTAGCCAACTCTATGTTGCTTCACATTTACTTTGTTTTTTGGGACTAGGTCTGTGTTGCTCAAGTGATCCCTCTTCCTCGGCCTCCTGGGTAGCTAGCTGGCACTACAGGCGATTGCCACCTCCCCTGCTTTGATTTACGGATCAAAAACAGCATCCGGGGCTGGGGATTTAGCTCAGTGGCAAAAGCGCCTGCCTGGCAAGCGCAAGGTCGTGAGTTCGGTTCCCGGTACCGGAGAAAAACGCAAAAAAAAAAAAAAAAAAAAAAAAACCAGCATCCGATGTCACTGCTGAAGACGAAATATCAGTTCCCCACTGCTCCCCCCACACATTAGCATGGAGTACAAACGGACGTCAGGAAATCAGCATGTTAACAGTAACTGTCACCCCACTGCTTGGTGCGCCGGGTATTCGGTGTCAGTGGCGACAGTGAAGTGCCTCTCAAGAGTGGCACATGGTAGGCCCGTCTGCCCTTAGCTCTCTCACCGGGCTCCAGATGTTTGAGGATGCCTCTCTTGGCCAAGCGGGTCTGCAGCGCAACGGGGAGCGGCATAGCGAGTCCCTCACAGACCTAGGAGCAGACACTGAGGATCAGATTCTCGGCCCAGTATCGGGCGCCTCCCCACCGCGCGTACACATTTGTCTGAGCCCACCTCCCAAACGCACCATTAGCTGAGTGTATGAAACTTATCTGCAAGAAGAGGGAAGAGCCTGGCACAACCAACAAAACTTTCCTCAGCCCCGCTCCCCAGGGGTGATGCTGCGGGACCGGCTCCTCCCACCGCCGAAGGGGCCCACGCGCAGCACCCCCCACACCTCAGCGCTCTAGAAATGGCCTCACCCAACGTCTCTCAGAGATTGTCGGGTGGGAGGAACCAAGGCACTAGGGTGGGGTAGCGAAACGCAGCACCTCCGGCTCTAAAAAACACCCCCCCCGGGCATTACCGATGCAGTCGTGAGGGTAACGGAAGGTTGTCAGGCCGCCCGCCTCTTTCTCGTTGCCGCTATAATCACCAATAATACCACACGCGACTTTTCCCTCACAGCATGAAACGAGGCCCTCTTTCCGGGAGCGCTAAGGTGACTGGACGACGCTTAGCTCTGCAGTGAATCGATGACGCAGACTTGGCTGACCAATAAGAATGTGCCCTCGGACTGACGTTACAAAACGACCCAATTGTCTTTCTGGAATCGGCGCAAAGCTCGCGCGCCCCTGTGCGTTACATTGGGGGCGTGGCCCGGCCGAGGTCCGGCTGACTGAGGCGCCAGACGCCGGCGCCATGGAGGAATACGCTCGAGAGCCTTGGTACGACGGTGGGCACAGGCACCTGGACGGTTGCTGCGGCGCCCAGGCCAGCCATGGGAGGCGGGCGGGGGAGGCACCGGACGCACAGTGCCACGTCCGGGACTCGGGATTCTTAGAAACGTAACTCCTTCCGCTAGCCCGAACTGGCTCCTCCCACTCGGGCGCCGTTAACAAGGCCCTCGGTTGTGTGCCCAAGAAGGTGCGGTACGGCCAAACTACCTCACGTTTACCATGAGTTCCAGTCTCCTCGTCCCCCCTCGTTGACGTAGAGAAGCGCTGGCCAAATCCACTCTCGCAGCGGGGGGAGGGGCGGCGGAGCGGAAACCGCAGGGTTACCACGCGGGTTTTTTCCCAGGTAGCTTCTGTGAATGGGGCGGGGCATGGATGGGCCTATTGTGGGCAAGGAGAGGTTTCTCGGGATCCTGGTTTTTCCCTCTCCTAGGTTTCAAACGTGCAGAAGGGAGGAAGTTGATTGAATGTGCTCATTGTAGGAAAAGGGGTTGCCATCCCTTCCTGTTTCTGTCACGGTCCTAGCTGCTGAACGCGTCCTTCTGGCGCCGCTGTTGCAACGTGCCACTTCTGCATCTATCAGTCCGTTTGATCTTTGATACTGAAACAGATGCCTGATCCTTTTCTTGGGATCAAGAGTAGTATTTTCACCGGGCGTGGTAGCGCACGCCTGTAATCCCAGCACTCGGGAGGCTGAGGCAGGAGGATCCTTGCGAGTTCGAGACGAGCCTGGGCTACAGTGAGCTCACGGCCAGCCTGAACTGCATAGCGAGACCCTGTCTCAAAAAGACAAAAAAAAAAAAAAAAAAAAGTATTTTCCCCCTTTTGCTTCACTTCTTGTTTTCACGAGGTTAAAAAAAAAGGGACAAGCCTAGCTTGTTAGCATTTGAAGTGTTTCTTCCCACTGAGACTTCCCATTGTAGTGACAGGATTTCTCCCAGTTGGAACGAGTCCAAGTAGCAGGACCCAGTGGACAGGGACTCAAGCTAACCCCACCCTTCTCTTCCTGCTTGCAGCCCATGGCGAATTGTGGATGACTGCGGTGGAGCCTTCACGATGGGCGTGATCGGCGGCGGGGTCTTCCAGGCTATCAAGGGCTTCCGCAATGCTCCCATTGTGAGTCCTGGGCTCCTTCCCTAGCATGCTGGGTCAGCAGCCTCGCCCACACTGCTACAAAACTGCTCGGAGCTGCCAGTCAGCGTACACTTAGTTATTCTGCTGTCTGCTCACCTATTGTGTGCCAGGCCTGGCTCCCAGATCCGGGGCTTTGGGGAAACTGCACACGGGCCTCTATCGTCCCTCCACCCAGCTGTGGAGATGCTGTGCTGTCATAACAGTCACGGGTGGGCAGGGGGCGCTGGGGATGTAGCTCAGTGGTGGGGCACTTGCCCAGTGTGCATGATCCCAGGGCTACATCCCCAGCACTGCAAATAAATAAATCAGTCATCTGGACTGGGGCTGTGTAGCTTACTGGTAAGCACCTGCTTAACATGTTTAAGGAGGTGAGTTCAATCCCCAGCACTGGAAAAAAAAAAAAAAAAAAGAACAAAATCATCACAAAATCCTAAATATGAGTACAAACCCAGATAGATTTTTACCTAGAGACAAATTCTGGGTTAGAAACATGAATGTAGGGAAATGACAGGAGAGGCAGCCTTAAAAGTGGGAAAATCTTTTCAACATAATTCTCTCTCTGACTCCCCCTCCAAAGATCACATCAAATGTCGTAGCTTTAATGCCATTCGTTTGCTAAGATCTCTGCAAGTTTTTTCATTTCTTTTTTTCCTTCAGTACTGGGAATTGAACCTAAGGTCTTCACACTGATCTACATCCCCAGCACTTTATTTTATTTTATTTTTGTCTTTTTGAAACAGAGTCATGCTGTGCAGTTCAGACTGGCTTTTAGCTCACTTTGTAGCCCCTGCTGGTCTCGAACTTGCAACATGATCCTCTTACCTCAGCCTTCTGAGTGCTGGGATTACAGGTGTGTGCTACCACACCCGGCTCCATTTTATTTTATTAATTTAACTTAAAACAGGTTTTGCTAAATTGCCCAGGCTGGGCTCAAACGTGCCATCCTCCTGCCTCAGCCTCCCAGAGTGTTAGGAGTACAGATGTGGCCACATGCCCAGCCTGCAGTTTCCATATGCACCTTGGTCCACCCACCTCACTCCTAGAACTGTCTTTCCTGGATCTTTGTCCATGTTTTTTGTTCTTGGGGTCTTAGCACATTAGCTGCTCTCTGCTGGAGACCAAACAAGAGCCTAAGTACGTGTTCTGCCACTGACCTCCAGTCCCAAGTTCCCCACTTGTGCCCCCTCCTTAACAAGATTTTTCCCTGACTCTACTGAAATCACGCCTTCATCCTGTCTCCTGGAGTGCATGTGCTGTCTGGAGGGGGCAGGGGCAGGGGCAGGGGCCAGATCTACCTGTTCACTGGTTTGTCCCTGCCTGTAGCATGGTGCCAGGCACATAATGGGTGCTCCTTAGTCATTTCCTAAATGAATGAGCAACAGATTATTAAATTAGAATTCAGCAACCCACTCTAGTGTTGGCATGCTCCCTAGGCCCCTAGTTCCTGGCTGCTTCTTTGCATCAAACAGGTCTCCTCCCTCCCTCTGTTTTGTGTTTTGGTACTGGGGATGGAACCCAGGGCCTCACACGTGCTAGGCAAGCACTCTAGTGCTAAGCTATACCCCAGTCCCCCCTTTTTGCAGTACTGTGGATTGAACCCAGGGCCTTTGTGCTGAGCCACATCTCCAGCCCTTTTAAACTTTCTGTTTGGTTTGGCTTGGTTTGGTTTTTTGAGACAGGGTCTTGCTATGCAGTTTGGGCTGCCCTTGAGCTCACTGTGTAGCCCAGGCTGGCCTTGAACTTGGGACAGTCCTGGTGCTGGGATGACAAGCATGTGCCACCACGCCTGGCTTAAACAGGATCTTGCTATGTATCTCGGGCTATCCTTGGAACACACAGCAGTCTTGCCTTAGCCTCCCAAGTGCTGGGATTACAGGTGCGAGCCACTACACCCGGCTTGACTCCCTCTCTTACTTTCCCCAGGGAATTCAACACCGGTTGAGAGGCAGTGTTAATGCTGTGAGGATCCGAGCGCCCCAGATTGGAGGTGAGGAGTTTGAGGAGATAGAGGAGATGCAATGGCGATGTTGGGGGTAAAGGTTGATCCTTTGGGGCTAGACTGAAAGTTGGAGGGTCCAGTTTCCACTCAAGACTCTCCCAGGGACTTCTTAGGGTGGGTGATCTTTTCCAGCAATTTAATATGAGAAGACACGGGTGTGGATTCTGAAGTTTAAATCCAAGCCATGGCTCTTCTCCATGGTTGTGTGACTTTAGGTTAGTAGCGGGTCCTCTGTGAACCTCATGTGTACCAGATGATGACTACATTAATCACATTGTTGTGGTTTTTTTAGTTTACATGATACTTATGAACTGCTGGTTGCTATACTAAGGCCTTTGATAACATTAACTAATTTAGCTGGGCGTGGTGGCACACATGCCTGTAATGCCAGCACATGGGAGGCTGAGGCAGGAGGGTTGGTGTGAGTTCAAGACCAGCTTGGGCTACAAAGTGAGCTCAAGGCCAGCCTGAACTGCAGAGCGAGACCCTGTCTCAAAAAAGACAAAAAAAGGAAAAAAAAACCAAAATGTTGGAGACTAGAAGTATTTCCAAGAGTTCTGTGGATTTGGGAATATTTGTAAGTGCATAATGAGACATTTTGGGAGTAGGATCCAAGTCTAAAGATAAAATTCATTTATATTTCAAATGCAACTTACACACATAACCCAAAGATAATTTTATACAGTGTGTATGTATTTTTTTAGCACAGTGCTGTGGATTGGGCCAAGGTCCTTGAGCATGCTAGGCAAGTGCTTTAGCTCAGTATTACAGTGCTCATCTAGCATGCATGTGCCCCCGTGTTTGATTGCCAGCACTGCAAAAGCAAAACAAAACAGGTGGGAGTTAATCTGTGTGGCCCAGACTGGTCTTGAATTTCTCATTTCAAGGAATCCTCCTGCCTCAGTCTTCCCAATATCTGGGACTACAGGCCAGGCACATTTTACCACAACCAGCTAATTTCATACTGTATTTTTAGTTCACCTGGTTTTTTTTAAAGAGAAAAAAAACAAAATAACAATGAAGACAGAAACAACACAAAAACAATAAAAACGATACATGACCTCAAAACAAAGTGACAGGAATTAACAACGGTTGCTACAGTTCATCTGGTTTTTGTTTTGTTTTGATTTTTCTTTTTTTTTTCTTTTGGTGGTACTGAGGATCAAACCCAGGGGTACCCTTCTACTGAGCTATAACTTTATCCCTCTTTAGCTTTTTATTTTGACATAAGGTCTTGAGAAGTTGCCCAGGCAAGAATTGAACGTGTGGAAAAATCTATATGAATCTGCTTGTAACCATTTGTCCACTCCTTACAAAGGCAAAAGCAATATGGATGGCAATTAGGTAGCTTATAGTGGGAGCGCTGCAGAGTCAGGACAGACAGAATTTTCTGTCTGCCTTTATGGCTGAGTTTGTCTCTGTGCCTCTTTTTTTCTTGGTGGGCTCTTTTTTGGTACAAACCCCATCATGCGATACTATGTGTACTCCACTGCTGGAAGCCCCGTCATGCGATACTATGTGTACTCCGCTGCTGAGCCGCAGCTTCCAGGCTTCTCTCGGTTCTTAGCCGGAGCATTCAGCCTGGGAAGTCTCCAGAGCCTGAGATGTGGGCCTTTGGCTTTCCCAGGAGTGCTTACTGGGCCTCTGTCCCTCACAGGTAGCTTC